CTGACAGGGATGATGGGTGAGGAGAGGTGTGTTTTCAGGTGTGCAGCGACGTCCCATTAATCTGTGAGCAGGAGCTCAGCGCGGAGCTTCAGAGACCGCCACCATCTGCCTCTGAGTCGCTTCCTCGCTGTGGTGGACGCCACGCTGCTGCTGACATCACACCACGACACAAAACGAAACCGCATTTTTCCACCTTTGCGTTCACGACGACCCCCGTCCACAAACACTCGACTCTATGAACGTTGTGCCAGATGTGGCTCACAGCTGCACGCCTGATGTTTGCATCAGTTTGGTGTGTAACGCAGAATCGGAGGCTTCAAAGTCGAGACACTGAAAGTGTTGATCACGTGAGCGCTTCCTTGAGCCATTTCATGAGAAACAAATTAATCATCATTTATTCAGCGCAGAAGAAAATGAGTCTCACATTATTATATCTGCAGGTTCAGCAATGACACTTCAAATGGTTTCAGTTTAACTTCCAAAAGTTTAGCAAAACTCCTAAAAGCACAGATCAAACAGTGTTTAACTCGCCCCTGAGCAAGGCAGCGTGCATGCAGAGGTGCAGCGTGTGATGCTGATCGGGCTCTTGCTAAAACCTTCCCAGATGAGCGTTTAAAGCGTGAACGGAGCTCAGCAGCTCTGCTAATGCGTGCCGTGTCATTGTGAGGAAATGGAAGACAGCAGTGAAACCTTTCAGAGTTTTAATTATGCATTTGCAGCCTCGGTGCTCTACACTCGTACCCATGAGGGCTCCCGCCTCCATCCTCTCCATACGCTGCAGAGCATGATGTCATGTTTTATTCTGCTCACAGACCTGCGAACCAGAGGAATGCAGACAGGAGACCTGCTGTTTTTCTCACTCACACCTTTATTTTTCTTTCTTTTATTTTATTTTGACATACACGCAGCATGAAGCTCATTGGAAACAACACAAACTCATTTAAACACAGAAAAAAACAGCAACATCAAAGCAAATCATCAATAATACAGAAAAACCCAACAATGAGGCGCAAGAAACCCCCGGCTCAGGCTGGGCCGGACATCTGTCGCAACAGACAGGACAGGATTCACCTGGTCCAGTCCTAACTATATGCTTTAGCAAAAAGGAAAGTTTGAA